GAAGTATTGGCAATAGAATCTGAGTTGATTATACCGGTTTCAGCTGCGTTCATTGGTTCGTTGCAAGGACGATTGCTCATGATTGGAAGGAGCGCATTGTAGTAGGCACATTTGCTAAGTAAAATGTCTGTGTCAGACTGCAGTCAGCTACATATTCCACCTACATATGGATCATATGTGATAAAGTTACTCACCTTTAGTTGTTTTAGCAGTCGACTCCCTTATCTCATCCTCCAATTCTGGAGTCCATTGCTTGGTTTCCTGTAGTGCCACAATTTCCGCCCAACACACAAACCGAACCGCAGGGAAAAACGGCCTACGGTGCGGTGCGGTACGGTCTGGAGACCGTAGGCTGCAGTACGACCTGCTACGGTCAAACCGTACCGTAGTCTGGTATTCGCCAGGTAATTAGGGGGGGTTTCCGTACCGCTGTCTCCGTATTCCGGAGGTATCACCACCGTAGTTCGGAGTGCAGTACGGTCACTCCGGTATTTGTATACACCCTCAAGTTTTGCTAAGTTTGATGGTAAAGTCCAAGGAGTAGTTGTCCAAGCCAATAAACAAGTATTTGGATCCTCCAATAATGGAAACAAAACTGTGACTGCTGGATCATTCACATCATGATAATCACTTCCGGCTTCAAAATTTGAAAGTGGTGTAGTACAAGAAGTCGAATAAGGCTTTACCCTACTTGCTCTATAAACTTGACCTTTTGTTCAAAGTTGTTTAAATACCCACCACATACTTTCCATAAAATACACATTTAACATTTTATAATCATTATCAAAATCGATCCATCTCCCCATTCTTTCAATTGTTGATCTCCATTCTGATGAATATCTCATCACGATCGATCTACATTCTGCATTATAAGCTTTGATTCTGATCTTCATCACATCATCTTTTGATTTGATTTGGAGTTTCTTGTCAATTTCATGTTCCACTGGTAATCCATGACAATCCCAACGAAATCGACGTTCAACATAATGACCATCAAGAAGAGCAAATCTAGTCACAATATCCTATTATGAGAAAAAAATGTTTGAGTTTAGTTAAATGATCGATCAGAAAAGAGAATGAAAGATTTTAGAAAAACCAACTTTGACAGTACCCATCAAAAGATGACCATAATGAGGTAAACCAGTAGCAAAAGGAGGACCATCATAACGGTTCCATCGAGTACGATGTCCTTTTTTATTTTCTTTATGTCTTGTTTTCTCAAATCAATATTTTTTGTTTTTTCTCGTTTTTTTGAGCGTAGTCGTCCGTAGCCTACGGTGGCTACGGTGGCTACGGGCTGACCGTACCGTAGTGATGGGTTTGAGCTAGTAGTATTATTGACTACACTACGGTTACGGTGAGGTTTAGAAATTAAACCTCATCGTACCGTCGCCGAGGCCGTAGTGCACTTCACTACGGGCCGGTTTGTGTGTTGTTCCGCCTCCGTATTCTCAATCATCATTACTCCACCACTGGTTCCTGTACGCCAGCCTTCGGCCCCATGAAATTTACGTTCTAAGATATCAATCTGTATTTGAAGTAGGATGAGATTCGAAGAAGATGAAGAAATTATCATCAGTTTTTGTCAATTAAAAGAATTGATGAGAAAGAAACACAGACCTGCTGTTTAACACCAGGCCAGTTGAACCCACTGAACCCCTTTGCCGAAAGGAACTTACCACACCTTTCTGCACATTCTTTTTTTTTGGGGATACCCATGCGATATCGTGAGTAATTGGTTGATCCGGTATTGTAGCTCTCCATGCACATCCAATCCAAGTCATTTGGAGAATCTTTATCACCCCACGTGAAACACAACCATTCAACTATTAAATCAAGCATAGTCTTGCCATCTTCATTTTTATCTTTCACCCACGAGATTTGTTTTTGAGAGTGGTCATTGTCTTCAACTGGTGATTCGGTGTTCAAAGTTTCTGGAACAGATGTTTTTGCGGTCAAACCTTCTTCTGGTGATATCGCTCCACCTGAAGTCTCTTGAACTGATGATGGTGCGGTTGAAATGGCTTGAACTGATGATTGAGTGGTCAAAGCTGAAGCCGAAGAAGATTTCTTACTATTCTTCTTTGAAGCACGAGTTCCAGTTCCACGAGGTTTCCGCTTTGGCTTATTGGAGGTTGGCCCCATTGGAGCAGGAGTCGATGAGACAGAAGATGTTAAATTCGGTACCAAAGGAGCAGGAGATATAGCTGGCTGAAGAGGCTGAGATCCAGGATAAGCCAAGATGACTGGAGAAGGTGAGGAGATATAGGGATTGTGGTGAGGATAGGGCGACATAAGCTGAAGAGGGGTGGCTGGACTAATATTGTTGGTGTTTGTGCAGACCCATACGACATCGCTCGAGGTTAAGTTGATGGGTGTTGCTGGGGGGTTTTGGGAGTTATTTGGATTTTGTGAGTTGATCGGTGCATTGGTTGAGTTGTTGGTTGAGTTGTGAAAGTTTGGTTGTGGAGGAGGTTGATTGGACATGGTTGGGGTGAGGGGAACCGGGAGTGAGGGAGGGCAGGGCAAACTCAACTCAGAACTGGGTGAGGGTCTCAGGCGGCGTCAGTGAATTTGCTGTCAAAAAAAAATTTACTTTTGCCAGCCGCACATAGTTTCAAAAACAACACAAAAAAGTATGTGGGAGCAAGTATGTACAGCCACATACTTGCTTTGAGTACCGTAAATAATGGTTCAAAGCTTTGATCGACTCCCATACTTGTTCAATATTAGATTGAGAATTGACACTAAAAGTGTAAGTGACAAAGTTAACCAAACAGATTAAGATAATTGGCTGTTGTGGAGATGGAAGATTCTAGACAGTGGTGATGAGTGCATGTGTAAACTAATCGTAAGGTATGAATTAGATATTTGATCAATTTCCGACCATATCATAGGTTTGATGTGATTGTTTAACTCAGCCAAACTTCTTTGTCTTTGGCTTGATTTATTGAAGATTGAAATTGATTTGATGCATCAAGTTGATTATCAGAAGCTCCGAATGAGACAATGAGTAATAAGATGTAATAAACCAATTGATTCTCATTGAGTGATTTGAAGTTGAAGGATACTACTTTAATTGGACTAATTCCACCTTTGAGTTCATTGTATTGTATTGTATGAAAGATTCAAGCGTTGTAGAACTCCTACGCTGTGGAGCGTAGGCAGAGCCTCGAGGGGAAGAAACAACCCAAGGGGGATAAACCTCCAAGAGCCGTAACCAAAAAGCCGTTAAGCTGCCCTCAAAATACAATGAGACACTTCTTGCTGATCTTTCTACCACCCAAATAAACTTTCCAACCTTGATTATCCAATCTACAAGCTTTAGTCCAGCTTTAAGAATCCCCGGAAAGGTCCTACGGTTCAAAAACAGATGTAAACAAGCTGTTTTTTACTACGTTCCCCAATGCAGTTCTCCAAAAAAACTCTCCCGCAGCAAGTAAAAAAATAATAACTTAAAAAAAACCTTGAAAATTCCACCTGAACCTTGTTCCCCAACTTCTACAGATCCCAATTCTACCCTACACACCTTCACAGCTTCAAAACCCAGGGAATTACACTTGTAACAGTGTAATTCACCTTAATACCCTAGGTCAAAACCCTAGGATAGTTAAGTAAGATACTTAAAAAAATAAAAAAAATAAAATATAAATCCAAAATTGGAAATTCCCAATATAAGGGTATAAGAAAAAACCACGATAAGGCTCAGCAACCGTACCCTTATTAATAAAAAGGTAAGTCTTTTATCTAAAGACTTTTTCTCTTCTTCTTACTAATCTAGAAGCTCTAACTCGATAACGAAAAAACGCAAAAAGATCTATCACAACACACTCGCACACAACTTCGATATGTAGCAGGGTACAGTAGGAACAGGTAGAATACAAGTATCGGACTTACGGAAACCTACAGCCATTCCGATATTGCTTGTCGCTCCGGTTTGAAAAAGAAAAAGTGAAACCTAAGTTTTTACCTGTTTTTACTCAATAAAACTTCAAACTTGGCTGTAATTCAAGGCAATACAGCCAAATTCCAGGTTTTAGCCGGTTAAAACTTAGGTTTCAAGCTCACAAACTTTTTCTTTTTCAAACAGGTGCGACAAGCAATATTGGAATGGCTGTAAGTGCTAATCATAAGGATACACATGTACTTAACCCATCAATGATCACAATGGATCCGAACAAAGTGAAGTGACGGATCATAAGAAACGTAACGGATCACATTCATACCACAAGGAGTGACTGATCTTTATCACTCCTTGTCTATCCTTTTAAGCTTTGTGAACTAGACTTTGTATTCGTGATCATAAGAATTACGTGACTTGTAGCTACACATTTTCTATAAGAACCAAGGGTTCCTGCAGGAATATCAGGAACCCGGTCATCTTTTGTTAGAAGAATATTATCAATAAGAAGTTATCCTATCTTGCACAATCTACAAATCTTATAAAAAGATTCTTTACCTTATTTTCAACTCGAAGCCCGCTTTTATCTTCATCAGATATCAACTATTAGTTGCCTACAGATTCTATAAAAGCGCATACTTCCTGGAGAAGTTTTATCTTATTCCTCAAGTACTTAAACTCTTTTATCTTCAACCCTAAGCGAAAGGGTTAGACAACATAACGTGGGTTAAAGCATACCCCCGTTACACTGGTAGCGAGAGCTAAATAAAAGACTTGTGATAAATAGTACTGACGTACCTTATTGCTTATTTAATTCCTGAATTATTATAATTCGAAGGTTTTTTTTAGATCTAAAATAAACCGAATTTCTACGCTTGACGCCTAGAAACCTCGAAAGCTCCGAGTAAATATTTCAAGCTTGACGCCTGGAATACTAGAATCTTCTAAGCTTGAAGCATAGAACTCGAGTTATAAAAGAAAATATTCTGTGAATATAAGTAAGCAATAAATCTCGTTGATAAAAAGGTAGAGATAAGAAAAAGATACTTACGATTGTTATATTTGATTATTTAGTTTAGTTGTTATAAACTATATAAAAATGCCTGCAAAAAGTTACAACACCGGGGAACCCATCAGACTCAGCGAAGCTCAGCTAGATTTGTTATATGCTGAATTACCTCCGATTGAGGAAGGTCTTGAATTCACCCCTGAACAAATTTTAGATTTTGATGATCGACAACAAGTTATCAATCATACTCTAGATCTACTAGCTGGAGAACAATGTTTTGTTCTAGATGTTCATAGTCAAGAACTATTATCTTTAGACCAGCATGGAGCTCCTCGCCCGATAACTTTTGTTTCGAATAGAAATCCTCGAAATCAATCAAGCCGTGGAGGAACTCCCGCTGGCGCTTCGACAGTCGTAGCCAGTCCTGGAACGGGTCCTAGTAATCCCAAAGTCCCCTTGGGGAGTGGGATGAAAGGAAAGCGTAGAGAAGATCAGATGGATGTCGAACATGGCAACCTTCCGAACCCTTCGACAAGCGCTAACATACCTGATCCCGTTCCTATCACCTTGCGACCAGATCAGCATGAATCATTTCTTCGTTACCAAGAAGAAATAGCTCGAAGAATGCAAGAAGAGTGGAATCGAGAATCGTCAGGAGGAACCAATGAACCGTTCTTTGAAGCTCCGATGGGATCAAACCATCAGAATGGACCTGCCTCTTTCGCCAGAACCCCTCATCCAACTCCCTCGACCAATGTCCCTAGTGCTAGGACATTCAATCGTCTTGGTCTAATTCCGCGAGAAAGAGATGTAACTAAACTCGCAAAGGCCGCCCATATCCGAAAAATTCCCCGATTTAATGGATCTAATCCAAAGGACGCTTCGATATGGTGTACCAACACGGCAAAGGCTTTCCAAGTCATGAATGTGTAAGACCTACGGTCATTACACAAAGACACATAGTTAAGACTCTAATAGTTAACACTTAAACTTAAATACTTAAGCCATATATATACATTTTGTTTTCATCTCTTTCTTGATTCTGGTTCCTTAGAGATATCGGGACTGATCTCCCACCCTTTATCCTTCGGAACCAGGTAAAGTCACATTTCATTTCTATTTCATCTCATTTATTATCTTGTACAGCCTTAGAGATATCGGGACTGATCTCCCACCCTTTATCCTTCGGAACCAGCTGCGTTCTCGTCGGTATTGAAATTTACAGATCAGGTCTCTTGGGTTCTAGAAACCTTGCTGTGTCTCACAGCGTCCCGCCTCCCGTGTCTAGTGAGGGACTCAACCCTTACAGAATGCCGATCCAGAGATTTGGCATTTAGTAGCTTATCAAATTGTTGATGGAGCAGCCTTGACTGAAGTTGAAAAGGTACTAGGTACTGATGACGAGCCCGTTGATTGGGCGGAATTTTCTAGTTTGATGATTCGAAAGTTCCCGACCACTTTGAATAAAGCCAGCGTCTTAGATAGATTCGCTAAGTTCGCGTTTAGACCAAATGAAAAAGCGGTGGACGCTTATGGTCGATTCAGACTAATTCAAAACGATGCTGATACGTTGAAACTCAAGTATGAGGTCGAGGAATTATGGATGACCAAATTACCTCATGGACTTCGAAAAGATGTCCAAATCGAAGTCGACAGATCTGCCGAGAATGGTATAGTTATGAATTTAGAACAAATTGTTCTTTGCAGCATAAATCGTGACAATCGTCGACAACAAGAAAGAGATACGCTACATTCCACTAGTGACTCTAATCGAACCAATTGTTCGTCGAGATCCAGCAATAATCAAAGACGAACTAATCGCTCATCTCCAATCCAAAGACGATCTAACAATAGTCAGGATTCGAATGAGAAGACTTGTTACAATTGTAACAAAAGAGGTCATATATTCGGTACATTAACCAATAAAATCTGTCCGCAAGAACCTACTGAAAGAACTAAAAATTACTTTAAGAGAATCAAGAAAAATGAGGTTGTTGTGGAAGCTGGACCATCAAATGCTTAGGCGATGAGAATGTAGCTCAATTTTCCTCGCCTGATCTTGTTTTGTTATCTCATCCAAATGTACATAAATCCTGCAATGAACCTGTGATTGATGTGTTAGATGAGTTTGATGATGAGCCCCAATTGCCTTCTACAAAGCGCAAGAGTTCTGGACCAATGGAGGCCAGAGAAAGTAAGATTAATGAGGAAAAATTAATACCTCATGAACTTCTGAGTGACAAGTGTGTCGACCTATCAAAGAAGTCGGATCACTCAGAAGATGATCAATCTCCTTCTACGAGATTGATCGGAGTCTCCAATAGAGACCACGGTGACTTAACTGTGCCTATACCATCTGCATCCTCACCGGCCAGTGAGCCCAGAGGAGAGGCAACAGGGGATATTAATGATAGCTTCAGTGATGTCCTAGCCACGATTGAAAACGACTCGGGACTACCTCGAGTGGATTTTATTCTGACACAGAATAAAATGACGGTGCGAGTGTTAATAGACACAGGCGCCAAAACCGCTTCATACGTTTCGAAAGCGTATGTCGAGCAATGTATGCTTCCCTTGCAAAAAGCCACAGGGGTGGGATATATAGCTGGAGTCTGGGGAGAACGAAAAGAGATCAGACATCTCTCGAAGGTACCATTTTCTCTAGGAGGAATGGATTTTGTCCACCAATGTCGAGTGGATCCCTTAGAAACGTATGATATCATCCTAGGGATGGATTGGATATCAAAATACGCTGTCTCTACTGATTGGGAGACAGGTACGTGGGTGTGGAAGGATGGTAACGAAAATACTACGTCCTTTTCGCCGTCGTCACCTGGCTCACCTTCTGAAAGTATTCACTTGATTGACGGGGATGGTGAATTAGCAGAATGTGACAGACCTATAAATAGGAGCCAGATGAGAAGATTCCTTCGAAATCCGAAGATGGAATGTTGGATCGTGCATGCCGCAGATCGCATTGATGCGATGGATGAAGTACAGGGTCCAAGGGAAAATCCTGAGGTAGCAGTACCGAAGATTTCTACCACTTGCCCAAAACTTAAAGCGGCCGCAAAGGCATTAATTGAAAAGTATGCCGATCTGTTCCAACCAATTGACAAGGCTCCTGAAAAGGAGCGAGTCATAGAACATTTGATTGACACCGGTAATGCCAAACCGGTATCACAACCAGTACGCAGAATGTCACCTTTGCTACTAGAAGAACTTCAGAGTAAGCTCGTGACATTGCATAAGAATGGTTTTATCCAACCTTCCACGTCAGGCTGGTCGTCACCAGTCTTGTTTGCCAGGAATGCGTCTGGCAAGCTACGATTCTGCGTAGATTATAGGGCGGTAAATGCCCTCACCAAACGAGATCGACACCCCTTGCCATTGATTCGGGATTGTTTTGATCATCTACAAGGGGTGGTGCGATACTCCAAATTTGACCTGCAGCAAGGGTTTCATCAAATGAAACTTGCAGCAGAATCTGTCCCAAAAACCGCTTTTAGCACTCGTTACGGTCATTACGAGTGGCTCGTAATGCCTTTCGGTTTGGTAAATGCTCCTAGTACTTTCCAAAGGATGATGTCTGACATCCTCAGACCATATTTGGATAAGTTTGTACAAGTTTACCTTGATGATATCCTGGTTTACTCTCGTTCTGATTCGGAACATGAAGAGCACGTTAACTTGGTGTTAACAGCCCTTAAAAATGCAGAATTAAGGGTGAGTGGAGGGAAATCTGAACTGTTTGCAGACGAGATACAGTTTGTAGGACATATGATCTCAAAGAATGGTATACGACCTATGGACGATAAATTGGATGCTATACGATTATGGCCAAGACCCCAGAACGTCCGAGAGGTTCGGTCCTTCTTAGGTCTGGCTGGTTATTATCGCCGATTTGTGGCTGGATTCTCTAAAATAGCTTCTCCGTTACATGCGTTAACAGGAGGTAATGTATCTAAAAAAGCTAAGGTTGAATGGACCCCAGCTTGTGAATCAGCATTTGTCATGTTAAAAGAGAAATTGATGAGCTCACCAGTTTTGATTTTACCGGATCCCAAGAAAGGCTATGTCATTGAGACAGACTCAAGTGACTTTGCCGTGGGGGCTGTTCGGATCCCAAGAAAGGCTATGTCATTGAGACAGACTCAAGTGACTTTGCCGTGGGGGCTGTTCTCTTGCAAGAAGCAACAGACGGCCGATTACATCCCGTAGCTTATGAATCCTGCAAATTGAACGCTGCACAGCGTAATTACCCTGCGCAGGAGAAGAATGTATTGGAGTCTTCGAACAGGGATCTAGTAGCATGCGCTAAAGCACAGATAAGTAACACTCGACAACAATCTCAATGATAAAGTATCTGACCTGAATAAAGGTTCAGAATGATGGATGCAAATTGATTAGCTTATAAGTTATCGATGACTGATAACTGATCTTTAGATGCAGTAAGAGATAAGCGTTTCTCTTTCCAAAGATAATTCTATTCACCTAGTAGCATGCGCTAAAGCACAGATAAGTAACACTCGACAACAATCTCAATGATAAAGTATCTGACCTAAAACAACAAGGATCTGATCAGAAATAATGTAAATGAAATATAAAGATAGAAAGAACAATATGATACCTGAATAAAGGTTCAGAATGATGGATGCAAATTGATTAGCTTATAAGTTATCGATGACTGATAACTGATCTTTAGATGCAGTAAGAGATAAGTGTCTATTTGATTAGAACAACAAATGTAATAGATGGAAACAAATAACATTAACATAAGGTCACATTGATAAAGAAGATAAAGATGAGATGGTACTTACTTCTCTTTCCAAAGATAAGGAAAGAGAAGTAAGTCGAATTGAGCATAAATCATTATAAATAGTGTGATTTGAAGTGAATGACATCATAGTTCTCCTTTCACTTGATGACGTCTTCTGGTTAATCTTTCTAGACATTTCACTTATCTATTTCTAAGTTATATGTAACTTTTTCTTATTTCTGTCGATTGGAATAATTCAACACCCCCCCTCAATCGACATAATTAAAACACCCCTATTCATTACATGCCTTAATTCCTATACGCTTTCTGAATTCATTAAAAGGTCCTGGATGAAGTGGCTTTGTTAATATATCCGAACAAATTCTCCCGTCGCGAAGGCTTCTGCGATGGATAGAGGAATTTAGTGAAATGACTATAACTATCGAATATAAGAAGGGTAGTATGAATATAGTACCTGATGCCCTCAGCCGATGAGCGGACTTGGAAGTCTTGATCTTAAATGAGAAAGCTGAGGGATTGGATGACCCGTCGGACTGGCCATTGTCGGTGCCTTACATTGCAACTCA